GACATTGCACATGCCCCGGTGGTAGGGCAGACAGTCTGGGGACACCAACTTGCTCGGCACATAATTAATTAATTGCAATTGTGATAAGTGCTGCTTCACACTTAAATTTCTGGAGGGCCAAACGAGTCTCACTGATGCTATAACCTGAAAGCTGAGTAGACATTAATGGGGTGGAGGGAGGTAGGAGAAGAGCATCCTAGTCAGAGGGACCAGCGTGTGCAAAGGCCCTGGGGTAGGAAAGAGCTTAGAGTGTGTGAGGGCCCGAAAGACCAGCTGTTTGGAGCTGTGAGCAAAGGGATGAGAGGTCCGAGGACGTTACAAGGTGGATGGTGGCCTGCCATCCATTGTCGGCCTGCAGTCAGCCCATCTGATACGCTCCCAGTGTGGAAGCTGCTCTGATATTGATGGGAATGACCCAACGTCTGTGCTCTGGAATAACCAGGGGCAAGAAGGCCTGATTAAGTGGTCTGCCTCTATCTCGTAATGGTCTAGGAAGCCCCTTCTCCGGTACATGAAAATTATTCTTTGCTCAGCCTCCCTGGGGTGGGAATGGGGCGACCAAAGAAGAGGAGAGATGCCTGGAGAGGAGGTGGGAGTTTCCCCCCACATCTGGAAAGATGCCAGGCCTGCCTGGCTGTTGGGAGATATGTCTCGCTTGAAAATTAGGTCTTCTTTTATGTCACCATTGTCTCTACATAAGAGAACTCATTGGACAGAATGGTTGGCCCCCAAGGGACTAGAGTCTCATATTTCTCATCATGTTGATTCCTCTCCCCAGTTTCTCGGTGTGCTTAGATTAAATCTATAGGTTTAACTCCTCCTCCTCCTCCTCATTTTCCTTCTCTTCCCCCTCCCTTTCCCTGCTTTTAAAAATCCGTGCCAACTTCTAATGTATTGTGGGTGGCATGGGCAATTCTTCACACTTAATTTGGTCCTGCTTCCCATTTCGGAAGCTTCACAGTTTACATCCTGTGTCCCCTCCCTCCCCTAGCTGCCCCATTTCCATGGCCTGCTGACCTGTGAGCTGTTTTTTTGTTTTTGTTTTTGTTTTTGTTTTTGTTTTTGTTTTTCATTTCAACTGCCCTGTGGCTGAGTAGAATGTTTCCTCTTTGCTTTGGGCTTCTCTATAGTCATTTAAAGTGTTCCTTTCTGCATATTATTTTTTTCCCTCCCCAAGACTCTTAAATCTTTATTTCCCCCTAAACTCTAACGGCAGTGTGGTACATAACAACAACATTGGTCACCGCCTGTGTACAGTAGGGAAACTGAGGCCCGGGCAGCCACATGGGGCCGCGGGAAGACTCCGGCCTTCCCTGGTGGCTTGCCAGCTGTGGGTCCTTGGAAAGGCACATAGTCTTCCAGGGCTGTGTCCTCACTGGTCATGTGGGAAAGAGATAAGTAAGATTTCCATCTTGTAAGCCTTCTGGGCTTCACATTCTAGCTCTACCACTCAGGTTTGTGGTCTTGGACAAGTCGGCAGGCCTCATTGTCCTCACTTGTAAAATCGTGATACACACAATGACTCTGAGGATTGTTTGATCTCTGTGTGCTCAGGGCAGAGAACTGCATGGCCAGCCCACGGGACACAATGTGAGAGAAGCAGACACGGCCGGTGCCCGTGTGGGCTTGTAACTGGGAAGTCCCAGCACCACACCTGGTCTGCATGAGGCCTTCAGGATGGCGCAGCTCTTCTGTCTCCTCTACCACCCAGCAGCTTGTCTAAGGGAACCCCAGTCATTCTCGGTTGAGCTAGAATCAGGACCCAACTGTGCTGGCTGCCCGTCCAGCTCCCGGGGAGACCTATCCGCAAGTCCCTGGGAGTGGCATCTGGATTCCTCCGGGAAGGCTGAGCCTAGGGATGATGAGGTGTGACTCAGTGAGGGACAGCCCTGGTACAGAGTGGGACTTCCGGCTGGGAATCCTCAGCACAGTGGCTGGGGACCCTTGAGGGCACACACCAAGAAATGGTGAGTCTGCAGGACCCTTGGTCAATTATGGCTGACCCGTGCGTCCTTGCAAAGCTGCCCTGCAGCTCCAGTACTGTCTGGGAAATCACGTCAGGGATTCCTGCTCTTGTTCACATCCAGGGAGGGGCACAGCTGCCTTCACTCACTGGTGTGAGCTGGCAGTAATGCAGCCACTTATCCAAGGGCTGCTGGCAGCCCGGCAGTGTGCTCAGTGTGGGACCTGCGTGCTTGCTAGGTCCCTGGGACCACTGCAGGGAAGGCACTGCTAAGACGAGAGTGGCCAGTGAGGGATGGGGCCGGATTTGAACCCACGTCTGCTTGGCCCCAAGGCTCACACTCTGTGCATTAAATTGCATGACCCTCTGTCAGTTAACACCCACCACGAGGCTTCTCCAACAATTTTAATAGAATGTTTGTCCACATCCTCAAACCCACGCTCACTGTCAGTCTTATGTCAGCATTGACCAACTGATTCTTACCACTGGCCGAATTAGATTTAGCCAAGTTACCCCTGCTGAAGGGAACATAGATAAATCGCAAAACTTGTTATAAAATGGGAGGAAGGGCAAAGTGGCTCCTATTTTGGTGCCTCGTGCCAGCCTAGGATGTGTAGTCCCAGGCACTTTCTGGAAAAGCCGGTACATCTTTAATGCTTGCTTTGAATACAGCAGTGATGGAAGCATGGTGTAAGGTCAAGACCTATTTGATCTTATTAGATCCTCCGTTCACAGCTGGAGCGGGCCATGCTTCTCACCTCGGGACCTTTGCACGGGTTACTGATTGTGCCTGCAACACGTTCTCTGTCTTTTCTCTACTGCCCTTCCTATTTTTGTTTCATTAATTCATCCTTGGGGCTCAGATTAAAGACTGATTCTTTAGGAAAGACCACTGGCCCTTTTCCATACCTTCTGTCATATGCTTTTATAGCAGTAGCCATACTTTTTTTAGAGCATATCACTATTACAGTTATTTTTAATCTGTTAATGTTGGTTTCCCCTACTAGACTCTTAAGCTCCATGAAGGCAGGGGCTCCATTGGTCTTAACTGTTGTGTGCCTAGCGCCTTGCTCTTACCTGGTACACACTAGGCACTCAGTCAACAATGGATGGACAAATCGTTGCTTGGATTGGTGGACTGAGCTAGTTATCTTCCTTTTCTTTCCTTTAACTCCAGCCAATAGACTGTTCTTAGCAGGGGTGTGGAATTGTAATGACCTGTTTATAATACTCTGTTGGGCCTCTTTGAAGAAGAACCCATCTGGAGAACCCTAAGGTCTAGCCCAGCACCTGACATACAAGATGGCCACTAAAAGGTAATCAAGTGGTTGTCTAAGCTTAATGCTTGCCCTTGAGACTAGTCCCAAGGACTTATGCAGCTGTAGGGGACCTTGGAGAGTTACTTTCCCATGTTGAGAATAAGGACAGCACATTTATTCATGGAAGCTGAGGGAACTACATTCTTGCTTCCCACCCCATGCCATGGTCTGCTATTCAGGTTGCCTTTTACTGTATTGATTTATTTGTACATAAATAGTTATTTCCATAACATTCTCTTCTCCAACATTTAAAGATAATGATATACAGTCTTTGTAACATCACAGACATAGCTTCAAAAGCATTCCGTTGCTATAGGAATGTTTATGATGTGCTTATCGCTAGAATTTCATGAGCAACAAACTCACAAATTGCAGATGATTTAGCATTCGAAGCAGGGAGTGAGAGTATGTGTGTTTGCATTTTTTAGAAAAGGACTTTGAAAAGAATTTATCTTGTGCAGAGCTTTCTTCTTGTAAAGTTTAAAATAAGAACTACTTAAAAGCTGAGAGTTTAGAGGAATGAGCACTTTCTCTTAAACATTCAAATAGGTGAAAATGACTTGTAATCTCTCCCTCAAGTATTAAAGCAATAGGCACTTAAAGGCTTTTTTTTTGAGCTGGCTGTCACAGACAAAGGATTTCTCAATTAAAAAAAAAAATCATTTGTATAGCATTAAACAGTAGAAATGAATACCAGCAGCCCTCCTGACATTTTAGAAATGATTTACTTTCTGAAATGTCCTCATCCATTTTAATAGATGACACTTTGTTCTTCCTGTGCAGGCTGGGGTTGTCATAGTTAGGATCAGAAGTTCGGGATGGAGCAGGATAGGGCTCCAGGCACGACTTGGACCAGGTCCATGAGCCTCCTGCCCTTGGGAGCCTCTGTCTGGTCACCCCAAAGACACATTTCCCAAAGTCCCCGCTGTGGCGCTCCTTCCTGGAAAGAGGCTCACTGCACTCTCTGAGTGGTAGTCCAGAGGGTAAATTTAACATCGTTTTTATTTCCGGCCACCCTCTCTGAACCAAGAGATCAACTGGACATCTTAGGGAAGGTGCACTCTGTAAACTTTTACTATAGTGATGCTGCCCGACCGTGGTTCGTGGGATGATGCTGGCCTGCAGGCTTTACCGGTCTATAGTAAAAGTACAGAAACTGAGACTATGCACTTTGAAACTTTCATATTGATATGACAGAGTCATCAGTTCAATCAAATTATTAAAAAGTAGGCTTATACTTTGTATGGATACTTTTTCATTTTACTTTTCTAGTGGTTCTTTCCCATTTTATATTTTATAAAAGCATTCATTTGTGATGGATCAGAAATTAAAGACAACTGGCCCCTCACCACAGACACGGTGGTTTGAGAAGCCCTGTGTTGCAGTGCTTGTGCGCTGCCTCTGCTAGCAGGTGGGACAGGTAGGCTGCTGAATGAATTTGGGGAAATCACAGCACTTACTACATGATATTGCAATGAAACACATCTCTCTGTCTCTCTCAGTAGACTTTCTTGAGAGCAGCGACTGCGTCTAGTTCATCTTTGTAGCCTCATTCCTTAGAGCCCTGCCTGGCATATTGGAGGGCGTGGGAAACATTTGTCCCATGGAGGCCGGCCTTGGGGACTCCCAGGGCTTCTGGATAGTGTCTTCTGCAGGCTGGTGATGGAAACCTAGGAGCAGATGATGAAGAGGTGACCTTTCCTTCTCTTTTCCCACAGAACCAGGTCTCCTTTTCCCACCTGCCCAGCAGCATGAGAGCAGCATGACCGGCCGGCCGCAGGAGACGCCCCCAGAGCCAGGCCCCCAATTGAACCATCTGCTGCGGAGGTCACGGTGAGGTGCTTTCCTTCTCCTGGAAGGTTTAGGGATGTGCGTTTTAACTTATTCTATATGCTGTTGTAATACCTTACAAAACTGGATTTTTTTTTTTTTCTTGCTGGAAAAATGGAGTTTCCTGGGACATGGGTGAACTTAGAAAGTGGAACCCAGACTAGTGTGGCTCTGTGGGTTGAGTGTCATCCTGCAAACTGAAAGGACTCCGATTTGATTCCTGGACGGGGTACATCCTTGGGTTGCGGGCCAGGTTCCCTGGTTGAGAGCATGAGAGAGGCAATTGATCCATGTTTCTCTTGCACATTGGTGTTTCTCTCCCTCTGTTTCTCTCTCCCTTCCCCTCTCTCTAAAAATAAATAAATAAAAATCTAGGAAGGGAGGGAGGGAGGTAGGGAAGGAGGGGGTGTCAGCCTAAAGGGGCAAAACATGCTCATTTTGGTGAAAGGAGAGGACGACAGTAGAGCAGATAGGACCCTGGAATTGAGTTTCCAGGGATTGAAGCTCTCATTGTTCCTCCCCCACCTCCTGAACTGCTATCTTGGATGGGTCTTTCAGGGGTTGGGGATCCACGGAATTTGGGGTGAAGGAATTTCTGGGACAGAATGGCATTGGAAGGACGGTCAGTCTGTGGTCTGGGACACCTAGGACACTCTGGACAGAAACTCCTGTCCCGCACAGGTTGGTAAGGGGCCTTCAAGGATCAGCCAGACCAACTCCCAGCCAGTGTTGAAGAGTGAATCTTTAGAAAATTCTTCCTAATGTTGGACAAATTCTTTCCCTCTGTAATTTATGTCATTCTTAGCTCTGCCATACGGCACCACAAAGACTGGATTTCAAACACTTTCACGTGACCGTCTTGGATTTGAAGATGGCTGTCATGACTCCGCTTTCCTTTTTTTGTATAAATTCTCCCCAAAGACTGGCACCATTCACCTTGTCCTCTTGTTCCCTTCCACATGGAAAGAACTTCATTACCTGCAGTTGCTCATTTAACAGGTGCTATGCTCAACAGAGAACCTTTCATTCCCTGTTCACTAGAACAGCTGGTCCTTGCATAACGGCAGCTCCATGCATGTCACCTTGATGAGATGCTGTGGAAACTTAACTCTTGTTTCTGTCAGTGAGCCTATGGGAAAATTGGTTTCATTTCATGTCAATTCACTTAAAGTCACAGAACCTGTTGATGACACTTAGGACTCACTGTACATATTTAGAGACTCCTTTGTGACCGTCACTGCTCTAGACTCTGGAAGTACATCGGTGAACAAGAAAGACAAAGTCTCTGTCTTTTTTAAGACAAAATATGTTTGGAACCTTAGAGTTTGAATTAAGCGTTAAACCACGTCTGTGTGTTCCTTTTAATATTTTATTTCTTTCCAGTGTTTTTCTTAAATGTTCCATGAGGAAAAGAATGTATATTCTCTAATTATTGGATGTAGTCTTCTATATATGAGCATTGAAATAAGTTAATTAACTGTACTGTTCAAATCACCTATAATATGTTTTTTTCTGTTTTTGTCTGATTAATCTATCAATTATTAAGGGAAATGTGTTAAAAAATCTCCCACTGGATTTGTGAATTTCTCCTCACAATGCAGAAGTTTTTGCTTTATCTATTTTGAGGCAATGCTATTTGGTGCACAGATGTCTAGATGTGGTATATCTTATTGATGAACTGGGATTCATTTCTACCATCTTTATATGCTTTCCATTTTTTCTGCTTTTTTTTTAGGTTAAGGTGTTTTCACCTCTCATGCTATTTTCCATCATCTTATTTGGAGGTTACAGGTTCTGTCTCCATCCTTTCAGTGGTTACCCAGCTATTTTAACAGGCACACTTTAAAAAGTCTAAAATTCATCAGTGTCTTTATCTTTCTCCCAAACAATGTAAGACCCATAAACCGGTTTAATTCTAACTAACCACTGCCTCTCCCAATGTATATAAAGTTGTTGTCCTGTGTTTTCATTCTGTCCTGTTTTCCCCTACAAGGTTTTATACAGTGTTTGTATAGATTTACCCATGTATATCCATACTTACCATATTTTTTTCTCACCATTCTTTTTTTTTTAAATCCTGACTTGAGGATGTGTTTACTGATTTTCAGAGAGAGAGGAAGCAGGGGAGAGAGAGAGAAACGTCAATTGGTTGCCTCCCATATATGCTCTCCGACCAGGGACCCAACCCTCAACCTAGGTATATGCACTGACCTGGGATTGAACCCACAACCTTTTGGTGTACAGGACAACACTCCAACCAACTGAGCCACCAGGACAAGACTTTTTTTTACCATTTTCTCATGAATCTGAGATCATTTTCCTTCCTCCTAATATAAAACTTTAGCATTATCCTTTAATGAAAGGCTATTGGTAGTTAAGTCTCGATTTTTTTTCTCTTTTAGTTTGGGTTTTTGTGTGTATGTGTTTTGTTTTTTTTTGTTTGTTTTTTTGCTTGACAATATCTTCTTTTGCTCTCAGTTTTGAAAAGTAGCTTTATTGAATATATTCTTGTAGGCCATTGAAGCCACTAATCCACTGCCTCCGACTCTGAATTTTGCTGTCGAAAAATAGGCTGTCAGTTTAATTGCTGTCCCGTCATACGTGACCTGGCATGTCTCCTTGGTTGTGTTTAAAGCCTATGTTGTTTTCTTTGTGTGCTGTAGCTTCAGTGTCATGTAACTAGGTGTAAATTTCTCTGTTTTTATTCTACTTGGGGTTTGTTTGGATTCTTAGAGCTGAAGATGGGTGTCTTTCAACAATTACGGAAAAACTCTCACCCTTTATTTCTTTGAATGTCACCTCTTTCCCATTCCGTCTAATATCTGCTTCTGGAACTCCCGTTAGACTTATGGTAGACCTTCTCATTCTGTTATTCTCTGTACCTCTTCACTTCTATTTCGTATTTTTACCAGATCGTATATACGAAATATAAAGATGGTAGAAATGAATCCCAATTCATCAATAAGATATACCGCATCTAGACATCTGTGCACCAAATAGCATTGCCTCAAAATAGATAAAGCAAAAACTTCTGCATTGTGAGGAGAAATTCACAAATCCAGTGGGAGATTTTTTAACACATTTCTCTTAATAATTGATAGATTAATCAGATAAAAACAAAAAAAAACATAGGTGATTTGAACAGTACAGTTAATTAACTTGTTTCAATGCTTGTATATAGAAGACTATATCCAATAATTAGAGAATATTTTACATATCTTCGTCTATCTGTGAATTCTGAATAATTTCTTCAAATGTCTTCTGTTTAACTAATTTATTCTGTGTCTCAAATGCTATCTAATCCATCCATTGAATTTTTCCCTTTCAGTTCCTTTATTTATCGTTTCTAGAAGTGCTGGCTCATTATTTTTCAAATATGCTTGGTGATTTTTCTGGTCTCATTTCTTGTTCATATTGCAGATTTCTTTTTCTATTTCTTTAATATATTGAGGTAGCTGTTTAGAAATTGTAGAACTTCATGTCTGGTAATTCCAGAATCTGAAATCTTCAGAGGTCTGATTCTGCTGCCTGTTGTTGCTAGTGCTTTGTTTCCTGTTTTTGTCTTCTGTGGACTGTGCATTTTCCTTGCAGCTTGATCTTTGTGAAGTGTTTGACATACAGGTTGACATTGAGTTTTCCAGAGAGGATTTGCATTAACTTCTGCTTGTTGTCTGGGGGCACAACCAGCCAAAATCACTTTAATTTTCTACCTAAGGCTTTTCTGGCTACAGAAGTAGACTGCATTCAGCTTGCAAACCTGTGTGAGGTCCCGCTTTTGATGACGCATTTTCAGGAAAGACCCCCACCAGCTGGCATTCTGCCTGCCTAAAGCCAGGTGTCCCTGCACTGCCCTTCTGTGTTCTTCTCTTTCTCGTTCAATGGTGGTGCAGCCTTTTGGAGTCCCAGCTTTAGGGAGGGAGGAGGCTTTTTCTCCAGTGTCCGGAACCCTGTGAAGCTCCCTTGGGAAACTTAGAACACCTAGGGTTCGGCAGGAACCCTCCAGGCAAAAGCCAACTTTACTGCTAGATTACCTCCCAAGCTTCTTGCTTTTGGCTTGATTTTGGTCTTTGAAGAATCCTTCCATTGGTGCCAGCGCAGCAATGTGTATACATTTTTTATATTTTAAATTTTATTCGGCATGTTAGTTGCTTCAATTGGGACGGTCAAGTAAAGTATGTAGCCGAAGGATGTCTTCTTTTTTCTCCCCCATGGCCCTGTGGGGCAGGAATGACTATTCCTTGTTCACTTGGAATCCGAGTGGATCCAAGGCTCAGAGAGGACACTGTCTGGCTCCCATCACAGGGTTAGCAGGCGACAGGCTGGGAAGGAGTATGTCCCTTTCCTATCCCCTTTGACCACCTTCCCTTCCCCCAAAATAACTGTTGACCAGTTTAGGGCGGGGATTAGCCTTATGCTCACAGAGGATTTGAGTTCCTACCAGAAAGCTTTAAATAGTTGGACAGCTTTTTAAAATTTGTTTATGAATCTATTGTTTATCTTCCTTGAGAGAGGAAATGGCTTCTGCATATTTTATGGCTTATTTTTCTGGCTGTCCCCAGCACTTTCCTGCTTCATTCCTGCTCTGCAAAGGCCTCCTGGACCCACGCCGGTCCCTTGTGCGCCTCCTCAGGCCCCAGCTTCTTCGTGTCCTCTTGAAACTCTCCTCCTCCTCCTCCTCCTCCTCCTCCTCCTCCTTCTCCTTCCCCTCCTCCTCTTCCTCTTCTTCCTCTCTCTGCCCCTCCCCCACCCAGTCTTTCCTGCACCATGATGAGACTTTGGGGCTCTGGATCAGGGACCAAGAGCAGAGTTTGAACTCACTAGCTTAGTCTCTCTAAACTTCAGTTTCTTCATCTGTAACAGGAACAGGGGGCGATAGATGGAGCTATTCAAGGACTAAATGAGACGAGGTACATAAAGCTGATACCATGAGCTTGGAGCCACGAAGGCACTCAGTCCATGGTGGTTAATGTTATTGTGACTGAGTACAGACCCCTGCATGGCGC